TATATATATATAATATATAAAATATAATATAAACATATATTACATATTTATATTATATATAATATGTATTTATTTATATATTTTAATATATATTTATTATAATATATATTTATTTATATATTTTATATTATATAATATATATTATATATTTATATTATATAACATATATATATTATATATATATAAACAAAATTACAAAAGATAAAAGCATTGGCAAGGATGTAGAGAAATTAGAACTCTTGTACCTTGTTGATGGGAATGCAAAATGTACAGCTTCTATGGAAAACAGTAGGAAGCTTCCTCAAAAAAATTAAAAAGAGAACTATATTATCCAGCAATCTCACTCCTGAGTATTTCTCCAAAAGAACTGAAATCAAGATCTCAAATTGCTATTAGCACTCCCATGTTTGTTGCATTGCTATTCACGGCAGCCAAGATGTGGAAACAACTTAAATGTCCACTGACGGATGAATAGATTTTAAAACGTGGTCTATAACAAACTGGAATACTATGCAGCTTTAAAAATAGAAAAAAATTCTGCAATTTGGGACAACATGGATGAATATGGAAGACACTTTGCCAAGTGAAATAAACAGTCACAGAAGGACAAATACTGCACGTTCCCATTTATACGAGGTATCTAAAATAGTCAAACTCACAGAAACAAAGAGCAGGGTGGAGTTGTCAGAGGTTGGCAGGGAGGAAGAAGTACGGGGTTGCTAGTCACCAGGTACAAAATTCTAGTTACGTCAAGGGAATAAATTCCAGAGATCTGTTCAGTGTTGTGCCTAAAGGTGACCATACTCTACTGCACACTTAAAAGCCTGTTAAAAGAGTAGACCTCGTGGTAAGTATTCTTACCACAATATAGATTTTAAAATATTAAAAAGAGCTCATGAGGCAAATATGAGCTAGGAGGGCAAGGAGATTCACGCAGCTTCTGGTCACCAACAGTACTCTTCAATCACTTGGAAAACCATCTTGGCAGAAACTATTTGCTCTGAAACAATTAAAGGGCTCACTGAAAATTATTCTTTTTCATCTTTCGAAGAAGAAGCTCTGATTGGCCCTTGCTATTACGGCGAAAACAGAATCAATCCTACAGAGATCTGTTTGGCTTCCACCATGCAGCAGGCACTGGGGATGGACCAGAACAGAATGAGAGAAGCTCCTGCTCTGCTTGTAAGGCAGTGAAGCAGAGGGGTTAGGAGCAGGGACTCAGGCACCCAGATCTGGATTCCGATACTGACTCTGCTGCCTGCTAGCTGTGTGGCCATGAGCAAGCTGTCTGACCTCTCTGTTCTCTGGAAGATGGGGAAGATCATCTTCAGGGGGTTGCCCAAGTTAAAGACAAAAAAAAAGCATGAAGTGCTTTGGACAATGCCTTCCACTGTGCTGAAACCATTACTAAAAAATATTATAAGGTGATATGAAAAGGATGGAGTGCACTGCCTTGCTTAGGAGGGAGCAGCTGGGGTAAGGATGGGGTGCTTCCAGAAGAGGTGACTTGAGCTGGGCTTGGGAGGAGGTGTTAGAGCAAGGAAGAGAGAGACTCCAGGGATGGAGTCCAGGGTTTCAAGCCTGAGTGACAGAACGTTATTTCAGCTAGGTTATAGTGTGGATGAAAATGCCCAGGGGACTTGTTCTAAGGTAGGGGGGTCTCAGAGAGCTGGATGTCCTCCAGTCTGAAGGGGCTCACGGGCTAAGCACGCATTCAATCTGAGTGAGCCCCGGGTCCAGTGAAGGTGGCCTCTGTGAGCATGAAGACCCCAAACTGAGAATTTCGTATCTTCTCCTTACGTTTGACTCTTCATACCAAGATGAGTTGCGGGTTTGTGTTTGACTCAGGGGCATTGAGGAGAGGGAGCAGGGAAGCTATGGTGGGTGGTGCCGAAGGAGAGGATGGACTGGGTGTCCCATGATGGTGAGAAAAGGCAATCGGGTGAGTCCTGGGGATGCTGCCTGGCCACAGGGGAACAGGAAGGCTGGGTCCGGGCCACGTGAGGACAGAGATGGAGCTGGAGGGTTTGGAACACTGCTAGTGCATCCTGTTGGAAGGGCTCAAGGCGTGACTTGGGATGTGTCAGTGGGCAGCTGGAGATGCTGGCCTGGGGGGTGGTCAGGGAGTTGGGAAGACCTCAGGGCAGGGTGGGTACATTTGGGGTCAGCCATCTGCATGGCCCCAGGGGAAGCGACTAAACTTGTCCAGCATGGAGAAAGGCAGCAGCAGTGACTTTGGCTCCTAGGAACTTCCTAGAGCTGGCTCAACCTGCTTTGAGGACGTGGATCAGGCCTGGGTATGAGTGTATGTGTAATAAGGCAAGGGAGACAGCAAATGACTCTAAGAATTCAGGGGTCTCCAGGAAGCTGGGAAAGGCACAGGCCCTCCAGAAAGACTGATAAGATGCCTGGAGCATCCCTTTACGTCCCAATCTTTCCTTAAAGCCTTGTTTCTGGGAAGCTGAGTTCTCTGTTGGAAACAGCTCTGAATCAGGAGTTCCAGAGCACCAGGCCAGCTCTGGCATGGCCTGCCTGTGTGTCTCTGGGCAGGGCACTCAGCCCTCGTGCTCCTTTAAGACTGGGCTTGTACCCAGACCCTGGGTCAGGCTGGCGGACCTGAGAGCCGCCCTGCCCTAGAACAAGTCCCCTGGGCATTTCTTTCACATTCTGACCTAGTTGCCTTAGTGCACTTTAGCATCCTCTGCATGCCCTGCATCCTCCCTCAATCCTTCCAGAGTGAGCACCACGGTGTCCCTTTACAGGTGAGGAACCAAGGCTTAGAGCAGGTGAACTCCTCCTAGATGGCACAGCCAAAAACAAAACAAAAACAAAACAAAACAAAAACCCCACAGAGGCAGGATCTGAACCCAGGACTGACATTCTTTAACTATCTCTCACCAGGTGGCTTCAAGCAGATAGCTTGGAACGTGGGACTGTGGTTTCCTCTATTACGAAATGGTGAAGGCCACAGTTGATCTATTTACTCTTTAGGTTTACGGTGAGCATGGCAGGGGTCTGTGTGACACCATCTTGAAAAGTTTAATGCATCAAACAAGTGTGTATTAGGGGAGGCTCCTTGTTTCTGGTCTGTGTAGACCTCTCGGCACCTTCCGGATCTCACGCCAGAAGGTTCACACTACCTCAGGCGGTGTCAGAAGTGTCCCGACAGTCAGGGCCAGCACACGGCTTGAGGGAGCAGGTGACAGCAACACCAGGAGGTGCCCAGATCACGCAGAGGGAACATGTTGGGGCAATCTAGGTCACTGACCTAGAACAGCGCTGCTCCCTGCCTTGAGGCTGGGATGTCAGGGGTGCAGGGCAACTCAGGCAAGGATGGGAGGACCCCAGAGGCCAGCCCCGTGCCTCCAAGAGGGCTGCCTTCAAAGCATCCCAAAGGGATGTGAAAAGCATAGCCATGGCCTCTCATGCTGCAGTCTGAGCTGAGGACACTTTGAAAGTGAAATCAAATTGCAAGAGGCCACTGACTGAATCTGAGAAACGAGTTTGAATTCAAGTACCTTTGTCAAGATGCATCTGTGGCTACACGGAGTGGCAGAGGCTTACGGGGTCACAAAGCACCCAGGAGGGGCCTGCATGCTCTGCTCTCATGCACATCCACGTAGTCTTCGATGAACGTGCTATTTCCCCATAAATGATGCTTCAAAAACATCTACAAATACTCTCTCCCTTCTCTTAAATTGCTCTCTTGTCTTTCTTTCAGAAACACAGAAATGTCTCTTGACCCCATACCTCGCCTTTTGCTGACACGTTCCCTCTTCCTGCGGCCTTTCATAGAAACACCTCTCCAAAGACTTGTCCACATTCACATCTTCACCTCCACCGACTCCCCGACACGGCCATGTAGCTTCTGCGCTCACTCCCCTGACACCTTGGGGCCCCTGACCTCCTTGTGGCCAAACCCAGGCTACTCCCCGTCATGGTCCCGTTGATTCCCTAGAGGCTGCTCCTCCCTATGTCTTGGGACCGGCTGCTGAGGGTGGGAGGGGACAGCACCTGTGAGGTGTAGGCTGGGCCCACCCCTCTGGAGGAGAGTTGTGATGACTCGAGCCCTCCTGGTTTGCTTCCAGCCTCCACTCCTCCAGCTCCTCTCCTCCATCTGCACCCCACCCCCACCCCCACCCCCAGGTGACCCCCATCCGGTCCCCAACACCAGGTACCCGTGGACGCTCAATCCTGTGTCCCCAGGTCAGACAGTTCTACCCGAACAACAGAGGGACAGCTCCCTAGGGACCGCCAACAGGCCCCCCAAACTTCTGGTTTCCGTCGCCACTCTGTTTCCCTTCCAGCTTCCTCTCCCAGGAAAAGGTGCCAGGAGGCAGGTAAATGAGGATCCTGCATCACTTCCCTTCACTGTATCTTATGTCAGCAGGTACTGTTGGTTCAAACTCAAAGATCTAAGTGGGATACAAATGGCCTTCCTCCTCCTCACTCCCATGACTGTGTTCTGAGCCACCAGCCTCTCACTGGACGACACCAGCAGCTCCCACATTTGCCCCTTCAGTTCTATCCCCTGAGAACCGCCAAGGGTGACCCTCTAAAGTGGGTTATAATTCCCCACTGACTTTGTACTTCTTAAAAGTTTCTTGATTTTTCTTATTTGTTTCTTCTTCAGGGGAAATTTAGAAGCAAACATTTTTTGGAATAAATAATTCAATGGTAAACCGATCCAGTCCAAAGATCCATTCATTCGAATAATATTTTCTGTAGGCCCCCTTTCTGCAGGCAGTGTTCTAGAATATGAGTTACTGCAGTCTGAGTTCCTAATACTTTCCTGTGGGGGGCTATTTCCCGTTACGCAAATTCAATAAATAAAAACCTGGAGATAGTAAACAAAAGCTCGGGGGAGTCACGTTTCTCTCTCCCAAAAGGTGGATCACTCTACGCGGTACAAGCCTTGCGGCTTTCCCGGCGCATCCGGGACGCGCGCCCTTAGCGCCCGCTCTCTGGCCGGCTGGGGACCCGGCCGCGCGGCGGCTTACCTCCCTGAGGCAGGTGTAGATGGGGCAGACGAGCACGCGGAAGGGCTCGCCCGTGCTGCTGCGCATGGTGCCGAACACCTCGCACAGGAAGGTGATGAAGCCCAGCCAGCGCTCCACGTCCTGCTGCTGCAGCTCCTCCCGCACCGTGAAGTCCTTCTGCGGAGACACGAGAGACCACGTCAGCCGCGCGAGGGGCTGGGAGGGGCCCGGGCAGCGCCCCGCTCTGCCGCGCTGCCCGCTGGCTAAGGGCTGGCCCTGGGCAACTGGTAAACCCCATGTTTTCAACGAGGAGGGAGATGGGTGACCCGTGGCTGGAGCGTGAATGCCGAGGACTCAGTTGTGGTAGAAGGTTTACCTTTGGCCAGAGCACCTCTTCATTGTCTCCGATTTGGGAGGTCACACAGCCTTGCCTCACTGACCCCAATACTGAGGTGGAGGCAATGAGATAAAGGGGAGGATGACCCCTTACCCAGTCATCGCTGCCTCCGTTCAACTCTTTGTGGCTAAACTATCTCCCCTTGCTAATCTCCAAATCATGCCTCCACGGCCGGGAGGGTAACCAGAACTTTGCCCCACACCCGTCCAGCAGTGGCCCGTCTTGGCCCCTGCACTGGGTTAGAGACACAGCCACAGCCCTTGCCTGCAAGGGGCCTGGAGCAGAGAAGGAAAATTAGAGGCATTCGTTCATTGCTTCCTTCCTCTTCCTTAATATTACTGCCCCACTGTGCACCAGGCACTGCAGTAGGGGCTAGGATAAGACATACTCACTCATAACTGATACAAAACAGAAGGAACTAAAAGCCATGGTGGGGTGGGGCTCCAGGTAAAGGGACTTTGGGGAACTCAGATGTAAGAGTTACTACTTTCAACTAGAAATCAGTGCCTTTGAAGAGATGGAAGGTCCCTACGGATGACCTGGTTAATGTTAGTGCCTCGTGTGTAATGAAGGTGCCATCCAGAAACCTAAAAGGGCAGGTGAGGCCTCAGTCTCCTTGGCTGGCAGATTAGGGGCTGGATGAGAAGACTTCCAAGAGAAGTCCCACCAGTTCCAGCTTCTGAGAGCCTGGGTCATAGCTTATGACTATCGGAGCTTCATCAATTTCAAGTGTGTGTGTGTGTGTGTGTGTGTGTGAAACAGAAGGAGCAGTGGCTACCATCTTTGAGGCAGACACTAATCAAGCACTTTCATTGCAATGTCTCACCTAGTCATCACAATCATCCTATGAGGCAGGTCCTGGTATTGCCCCATTTTACAGCTGGTGAGTCTGAGGTTAGAGCAGTTATGCAATTTACCCCTGGCTATGAGGCAATGGCAGAGCTGGGACTTGAACCCTGGTCTGCCTGCTCTGAAGACCAACTCCCCCGCCCCCTCCTTTTTTGATGGTGTGTTTAGATTGGAAAAGTAATACCTCAGAGGCCAAACTCTTATTCACTTTCCAAGTCTGTACTTTCCACCAAGTCACAGGTCTGGACTGTCCGTGGAGGTCCATTCATACCTACAGATCTCATGGGCCTCACACCTGCGCTCAGGCCTCCTGCCTCGCCACTCTCTTCCCACTGAAATGTTCACCTGTATACAACTGTGGTCTGCCAGCACATGGGGTCCTTTCAGCCTGGAGGCTGAGCCAGGGCAGAGTCCTTGGAAGAGTCCCTTGGGGTTAGCCAGGGACCCCAAAAGTAGCAGGATCTCTTCCCTAGTACAGAATCTGGATCAGGCAGTTCCCATAGGGACTGCCCTACAGTTTTCTCATTCTTGTGACCCAGTGAATTACCTTCCCTGCTGCCCCAGAATCTGCAAAGGACGCTGTACTGCTGGCCTTGAGGTCATGAAACTTCGGGTGGTTACACTCTCATTAACTTCTGTTTATGATTTCCTTATATGGTCAGAGCATTGGCGGCGTTACCATTCCCATTTTAGAATGGGGAAAACTGAGGTACAAAGAGTTGAAAAGACTTGACCAGGGTCACCGGCACAAGAACTTGAACAAGAACCTAAGCCCCTCCATTGCTGTCTGCTCTGAGCTAAATGTTCTCAGCCCTGTTTGCACACTGGAGTCATCTGGAGGAACTGAGAAGCTACTAATGCTTGGACTCCGCCCCAAAGAGGCTTGTGTAAATGGTCAGGGTGGAGCCAGGACACTGATACATTTTGAAAGCTTGCCAGGTGATTCCAATGCACAACCGTGGTTGAGAACCACAAGCCGAGGACTATATAAAGTGCCATCTTGGGAGTTAAAATGGTGCCTCTCTGTCAATGCCTGGGATGCCCTTTCTCCATCTCCCCCCAAAATACCTGTGAAGTCAGATATAGAGGAGGAAGATAAGAGTTCACCACAGTCTCTTTACCATTAAAATGCTGTCATCAAGAAGTTCTAGTTGCCCAGAGCAGCTTGGCTTCCTACCCACAAGATCACAGCCAGGGGTGAGACGGGAGGGAACTTCAGCTTCAGCCCGCCCTCTGTCTGCCCCTGGCTGGTAGGCAAAGAGTCTGTAACTACTGACAAGGCCCCGTGCCTGTGCATTAAGGCAGCTCCCAGGAGCACTGCTCTTACCCCAGTCACTGGAGATTCAGGGGCAGAAGGAGTTGGGGAGGTTCCCTGTGTCCTCGGAGGCACAGCGTTCTCAGTCAAAGCCCTCTGGGGCAGGAAAAGGCTCAGGGCAGTGCAAAGCAGGGACTGGAGTTTTTAAAAAGATGATTATATCTGATCAAAGAACTACAGCTTGATTCAGGTTCCTCCTGATAATCAGTGGCGTTGAGAGAGGAGTCTGTCTTGGGTGGCAGAGCTCACTAGAAGACTGAGTGCCTGCTAAGTACTGGAAGTTGAACTTGGGATGTGTGCCTACAGCCACCAGCTTTAGGTCCAAGGGAGAGACTCTGCTATTACCTTAGCAGACAGTGAGCAATTCCAAGGATGATTTGAGGAACTAACCAAGACCAAACCCAGCTTTCTCATTCAAGGGAAAGGGAGGAGAAAAGAAATATGGCGTCTATGGGAAAGTCCTGCACCGCAGGATAAGGGAGCCTTATCTTGAAGACCTAATGGAGATGCATAACTCTGAAAATGTCAACTACAATAAACCAAAGATAAATAAAATAAAAACCCAAGGACGAACATGTGGGACTGAACGTCTGTTAAGAACAGTAATATGGATTCTGTGATATGATTAAAACTGTAGGCTGAGATGAAGTGTGAGACTGGGACTGGGGTTAGGAGAGAACCAAATGAGATCAGAAATCCAACAACAATATGAAATGTAAATTGGAAGGAGTAAAGGACAGAATGGATACTGCAGAAAAAGTGAAATAAGACAGACTTGGAAAAGGGCTTGAGAGCTGAAGACAGAGATAAATAGATTTAAAAAAAAGAAAGAAGAAAAATGAAAGAGAAGACAGAGAATGAACACCTAACCTACGAATTAGAGTTTACAAAAGGAACATCAGAGTACATGGAACAAAGGAACAAGAGAGAAAAATTTCAAGTTGAAAACAAAATCCAGAAAAACAAAAAAGAGCTGACTCTTCAGGCAAAAAGGGTTCACAGTGTTCCAGAGCCCCACCATTTATACTTAGCAGGAGAATCTTCTTTTTTTAATTTTAAGGAAAAGGAAAATTTCTAAAAACAGCTTTGAAGGGAAAAAAAAAACAAGCACTAGGTTTCTTACAAAGGAACAAAAATATGGTTGGCTTTACACTTCTGTAATTGATGATAAAATTCAGAGACACTGAGGCAACATCTTTGTATGTTTGAGGTGGAAAGAACACACCTAACTGAGTGAAAGCAAGGGATAGACATTTTACACAAGCAAATTTTTTTTAAAAATCCCACCCACGTGCTTATCTTTAAATAAAAAGTAAATGGTGCAGCTGACATGGAAAACAGTATGGTGATTCCTCAAAAAATCAGAAATAGAATTACCAATATGACCCAACAATTCCACTTCTGGGGATGGATACAAAAGAACTGAAAGCAGGCTCTTGAAGAGGTATTTGCACACCCACGTTCATAGCTGCACTATTCATAATAGCCAAGAGGTAGAAGCAACCCAAGTGCCCATCAACAGATGAATGAACAAAATGTAGTAATATGCAGACAACAGGGTATTATTCAATCTCAGAATACAATGATGCATGCTACAACATGCATAAGCCTTGAGGACATTATGTTAAGCGAAATAAGTCAGTCACAAAAAGACAAGTCCTGTATGATTCCACTTATATAGGTATCCAGAGTAGTCAGATTCACAGAAACAGAAAGTAGAATGATGATTGCCAGAGGCGAGGGAGAGGGGGCAATGAGGAGCTGTTTAATAAGTTAGAATTTCAGTTTTGTAAGATGAAAAGTTTTGGAGACTGCATAGCAATGAGACTATCCTTAACACGACTGAGCTGCACACTTAGAACATGGCTGAGATGATAAACTTTGTCTTTTCTGAAAACTACAATTAGTACAAGCAGTAGAGTGCATGCTTATTAGCATGCACGAGGTCCTGGGTTCAATCCCCAGTACCTCCTCTAAAAATAAATAAACCTAATTGCTTCCTCCCACCAAAATAAATAAATAAAAACTACAATGAAAAATAACTTAAAAATTAAAAACTTCATCTTCTTTTCCTAAAAACACACTGTGCTGGAGGTCATAAATTTTATTTATTTATTTTTTATTGAAGTATAGTCAGTTACAATGTGTCAATTTCTGGTGTACAGCACAATGTCCCAGCCATGCATATACATACATATATTCCTTTTCATATTATTTTTCATTAAAGGTTATTACAAGATATTGAATATAGTTCCCTGTGCTATATAGAAGAAATTTTG